CCCTGTCAGGGCACATGTGGGAGGCAACCAATTGATGTGTCTCTTTCACATCTATGTTTCTCTCTCTCTCTCTCTCTCCCTCCCTCCCTTCTACTCTCTGAAAAGCAATGGAAAAAAAATATCCTCGTGTGGGGATAAAATAAATAAATAAAAAGGCAGTGTTTCCAAAATTGAACACCTCATTTTTAAAAAAATATATCTTTATTGATTTCAGAGAGAGGGAGAGAGAGAAACATCATTGATGACAGAGTCATTGATCTGCTGCCTCCTGCATGCCCCCCACTGGGGACTGAGCCTGCAACTGGGGCATGTGTCCTGACCTGGAATCGAACCACCATCTCCTGGATCCTAGGTCGATGCTCAACAGCTAAGCCATACTGGCTGGGCGAACACCTCATTCTCTTTCAACTCCATTCCCAAAATGATTCCTCTTCTTGAATTTATTGTTTCTGCAATAGTTACCCTGAGGCACACGGCCTCCTTATTCCCTGTATTCCATCAGCTACTAATCTAGTAGATTCCACTACCACAGACTCTCAATTACATTCACTGTTTTCTATTCTAAACTACCACATTTCTAGTTTAAATACTAATTACCTCCCACCTAGAGTATCTCCCACCTAGAGTCCACCCAGTAGATTCCTGGGTAGACTACCCACCTCTAGTCTAGTATCTTTCTACTTGGAATTTTGAATTATTTTTGTTCATTACCACCAAATTAATCTTTCTAAGGAGCAGGTCTGACCTGCCACTCTCTGGCCTAAAAACCTTAAATGTTTCTCATGGATTACTAAATTATTCACAAGTTCCCTATCCTGGCACTCAAAGTCCTCCATGTTCTGGACTCAATTCTATTTTTCTAGACTTCATGCTGTGCCCATCACCCGGAATATCCTTCCTTCATCTTTACCTGGCAAACTCCTAAGTTCTTTAAAGCTATTTTAAATGAATAAAGGTATTTGAAATAAATACCACTTCCATCACAAAGTTGTTTTTTTTTTTACCCTAAGCTATGAGCCTTCCTTTGAATCCCTGTAACACTTTTTTATTTCAATGCTTACCAAATTTTGCCTTATACAATAATCTGTGTATTCTAGTGCTTCTCAAACTTTTCCATTAGAAGGGCACCTACTTATACAGAAAAATAAACAAATAGCCAAAACTACTTGTCACAAAAGGCTGCCTGGAAATTTAAGTTCTAATATGAATTTTGCAGTTATTAATATTAGACTGTTTGTTTTTAATATGAAGTGACTAACACTCCAGGAAGATGGGTCTATTGAATTTGGGGGATTTAGGATCCACCTGGAACACTGTGAAAACCCTCCCCACAATGCCCACTAACCTAAGGGCAGCGAATGCCTTACTATAGATGAAAACCCTGTAAAACTAATACAGTACCATCTACAAAAGCTCAAGAAATATTGTTGAACTGTGACTCAGGATAGGTTAACTAGTGTTAACTGCATTTACTAAATGTTTACCATTAGAACTGTGCTCTGTTTCAACGAGCTTAGTCCACGGGATGACCTTAAACAAGTATAAAACTGTACATAAGGGTTACATCGTGAAACGTAAGCCTTTTGTGTTCTTCAAAAGACTCAGATTGAGGACTCAGTCTCTCGATTCCACACACTGACACATCGGAATCGTGTTGAGTACCAAAGTCCACTCTGACCTCCAAATTATTTTCTGGAGCTCGATAGTTTTCTGCTAACACTGCGCAAAACTTCAGCCTCTCCGACTGAAAATAAAAGGTTTACATCCTTTCGCTCTCCGGTTTGAATTTCGGCAAAGGTACCGAGGAGCTGAAAGAAGCCAGATCCCACCAAACGAACAAATATGCCAACGCTAGCAGCACCGCCCCTTTACATCCCCCACAGGCTTCCAATTGGTCCTTATGGCTCATTCTCTTTCCAGATTGGTGTTTCAGCTTGCCCATCGCCTCCCTAGAACCCACTTTTGGCCAGCGACTATTGGTAGGTTGTTACGTCATTGCTCCATCTACCTCACTCCTATTGGTTCCCATAGGAAGGGGCGGTCGCAACGTCACAGGCAAGGGCCGCCATTTTGACTGAGCAACCCTAGTGACAGGAGCGAAGGAGCAGCGCAGGTTGTCCCTATTCCCCTCCCCCTTCCCTTCTCCGTTTGACTTCCCGGGCCCCCTACACTCCACAGTCCCAGTCCCGCCATGTCTCAGAAACAAGAAGAGGAGAACCCTGCTGAGGAGACCGGCGAGGAGAAGCAGGTGAAATGGAGGGGGTGCGGGCGGGCGAGCCGGGGGCGACCGTGATGGGGCGGGAGACGGTCTCCCACCAGTGCGGATTGGTCGCCATGGTCTCAGGCTCTGCAGGGGTTGGCCACTTCTTGCGTCACGCAGGGTGAGCTTCAACGCGGCTTGCTGCTTTGGCGCTGGTTGGTTGGGTCGATTATCAGTCAGTGCCAAATTCTTCTTGATTGGCCAGTAAGCCTACCCTTCAACTCATTCATGCTGTGCTATAATTGGCCGAGCTTGGGCGCGGGGCGGGTGTTTGGGAAGACTGGGTGAATGAAAGGGGGCTGGTGGTCCCTGAAAGCGATGTGTATTATTGGTTATTAGGGGTAAATAACCCAACAAGCAGGCTGGGGCCTGTATCCGCAGTCCTCCGAAAGATACGGGTCAAGGTAAAGACGTTTAAAGGACCAGCATTGGGGGTTGGGAGAAGAGTAATTATTATCATGGCTAGTTTAAGGCAGCAACTTTGTCAAGAGACCTATTTTGACGATGGTTTGTTGCCCACCTTCATTGAGGACTGAACAAGATTGAAGAGGACTGGAGTCCTGTACAGAATAATAGAAGTGAAACTTAGACACGAAAAGAGTCGTGACAAGAAAGACGCCACCCTATTTCCCCCCAGACTTCCAAGGCAGTGGGACTTAGTTCAGCTGCAATTCTGTGATGAAAACACGCCAAATAAACCTCTTCTTGAGGATTGTATTTGACTTAACAACATTTAGTACTGGGTTCGGGGGTTAATGAAATACACCTGTTGTTAATATCTGTGCCGGATTTCCAAGGGAAGGAAATGTAATCCCACCAAGAAGAGCCACAGATTGACTTTAGGTTATTTTTAAAAGTCACTAAAGAAAAGAGCAGCGGGGCCCACAAAAACCGAGAAGAGAATAACAACAGTGAGAGCCACTGCAAGCCAACTGAGCTCTTGGCATGTTCCCCATACTGCCATCACTCGCCCCACTAGGGATGGTGTTGACTTTTTGGCAAAAATTGGGTAAATAGTAGTGAACCTACTGTATCTTAATTTTCCTGAGATTAAAAATAGTGTCATTTTCATCTCTGTTTACCTACCACCTTCCTACCACATGCTTATGGAAATGCAGAAGCAGTGTCCTCCCTTTACTAAGGTGGATATCTTTGGAGAAGGCTACATATCTCTAGCCTCCTCCACAGAGAAATTCTCGGATGACTATCTTAGACTCTGAATAAGGAGGGAACATTTCAGCAGAATTATCTCTCCCCTTTGCTTTCCCAGAATTTCCTACCCCCTTTGTGTTAGGAACAGCCAGGATACTTTCCTATTCATCATGTATCACCAACAGCTTTGGCTGGCTCTTTTCTCTGTCTATCTTTCCTAGCTTCGGTGCTGAGTGAGCTGTGGCTTGCTCTGTGATTCAAGTATTGTGTTTAGGTATTACCTTTAACCCAGTACTGACAGGTCACCAGGGTGGTTCCCTGGGAGTAGTGTGGGAAGAACCTTGTCTTTTTCTTCTCACAATAGTCTTCTTGAGCTTTAGGAATTTGAACAAAGGTTAAGAATAGAGTGGAATAGCATGTCTACAAGTAGGTGGATTTTCAGGAAAAAATAGTATAAAGGTTATCAGATATTAAAAGCAGTTGCTTCTCAGTCTTTAATTTTATTGGCCCATTTGTTCCTTCTAGGACACACAGGAGAAAGAAGGTATTCTCCCTGAGAGAGCTGAGGAGGCAAAGCTAAAGGCCAAATATCCAAGCCTAGGACAAAAGCCTGGAGGCTCCGACTTCCTCATGAAGAGACTCCAGAAAGGGGTATGGAACACAGTCTCTTACCCTCTTACTTTGGAGCCAAAGGGGATGAGATCTGTAGAGGTTCTACTGAATGCTGACCTGGAAGTTTTGTTGTTGGGCAGCAATGGAGAGGAATTAGAAACTTGTAATGAACAAAGCAAATTATTGTAAATCTCTGATATGGTATCAGTTATCCTCTAATTTCCCATATAGGATATTAAGGCTTAACGTAGGGGGGAATTTGGGTATAGGGGATTGATTAGGGGGTGAGGGAAAGATATTAGACACTGAAACGCTGACTGCCCTAGGCATGTGCCTGTTTGAACGGTGGCAATATTAGGACTGCGCTTTTTTAGAATTAGAGCTAAATTTTGGGGGTGCATCATTTCAGAAAAAGATCAAACCATCTGTCCTACAGATTTCCTCAACTTGAAATGAATAGATTTATTTAGACCCTTTAAGTTAGCACTAGCCATTTACTCCTTCCTGTCCACAGTGGTTTTCCTCATCAAGGGAGAATCTACCTTCATAGCTATCTAGCTCTCCTGATCAGGTTTCTCAGTACCCAGAGGTACCTAAAGCTGACTGAAGGATTGTAAGTCATTCAGCTGCAGTGTATTCCTCTGTGTGGATGAAATGGAGAGTGAAGTAGACCCATGGAGAATCCTAGCTGTTGAGTCTTAGTCACAGATGCTGATGTGTTGCTGATTTGCAGTTTACCGTGCTGTAGGCAAGGCAGGTATGGGCAGGCTGTCACAACCATGGAACATGTTGGGGGCATTGGGAGTCAGAGGGAAAGTACATTATTCTCGTGAACAAGCCCAGTTTCTATTCATGGTCTGAAAAAACACTTCAATTTTGAGGGTGTTGGCTGGAGGTTGATCTGCTGATTGCTAGGGTAGCCCCAGATTGACGCCTCTTTATATCTTATTCCTTCTATTGCCCCAACACCAAGCCTATTGATGACTAATAGGTCCTCAGTAAGCCTTTATGTATGATGTTAGTAATTTTGTTGAATTATCCTGTACTGATGAGGCTACAAAGGATGTAGGGGCTATTTCTTAATTCCAAAAATATTTACTCTAGCAGGGAAACTGCTTACATACCTGAAAAAATCAGAACACATGTTACATGTGGGGAGAAGACACAAGTACACGTAATTAATGCTGAACTGTGTATGCATGAGGTTAATCATGGAAGACTTAAAAGATCTGAAAGTGGGTGAGGGTTTGTAATGGAAATGGATGTGGGTCTCCTTGCTTTTAAGGGTGGCCAGCACCCCTCACTCACCTAAACCTTCCTTTTGTCTTTTAGCAAAAGTACTTTGACTCAGGAGACTACAACATGGCCAAAGCCAAGATGAAGAATAAGCAGCTGCCAAGTGCAGGGCCAGACAAGAACCTGGTGACTGGTGACCACATCCCTACCCCACAGGATCTGCCCCAGAGAAAGTCCTCACTCGTCACCAGCAAGCTTGCGGGGTAACCTGGGCCCCTCTTCTCCCCTTCCTCACCCACTGGACTTTCATATATCATAGGCAGGAATGGAATGGGCACCTAGTTAGAGAACTTCTCAGCTTCCTAGCCAGCAATGACTGTGATTCAGCTGGGGGCTGCTGAGAAGGTAATGTGTGTTGAAGAGGGGCTCTCAGTTCATTTCTTTGGTTAAATTGAGATCTCTACACCTTCACTATAGCCCAAGTAGGGGCCCAGAAGTAGGAGACTAGGATTGGGTAATACTGCAAATTGTCTTTTTTTCTGTACCGGAAACTGGGGAGACATAGTTTCTTTTTTTGGAAGAGAATGTCTCAAAATGGGTTAGGCTAAGCCTGGGGATAATGTGGCAGGTACAACACCCAAGGGTGACCTGACATTGCTGGGAAAGGTAGATTGAATGAGACCTATTTTCTGTGCTTCTAAGTGTTTTGTTCCTTAGGCTGCTGTTGCTTCATGTTTCCATTATGGCAGGTTTAGAGAATCCTCAAAAAGAAAAACTGATTTGCTTGCCTAAAACTACAATGCCTACTTAACCTCCCTTAGTCAGTGTCTCTTACAGTTTGCCCTGGCTCTTAATGTAAAGATTGGAAAACGTATAAAATGGGCACCTTCTCTCTCTCTCCCAGCATGTTGCTTTTGAAAGTATCATGGAAGGAGCACTGGTTTAGGAGTCAAGATATCTGGGTTTGGGTCTAGTTCCATGTAGAAGTGATAAGTAACCTTGGTCAAGTCATTTAACCTTTCAGGATTTCTTATTTCATCATCTGTAAAATAGAGTTGAATATAGATAAGGTTGATTCTGATTTTAAAATTCTGTAATTGCCAGCTGAAAAGCTCTGCTAGTCATTGTAAAACTAATGAGGAAGGCCCATGGGTAAGCAGCGTACACAGGGGAACCATTTGAAGACTACATGGGGAGAGAGGAAGTGGAGATTTGGGGGGTTATGAATTCAGGCAAGAGGGCCTCATAAGTATTATGGTCTTAACGTCAAGAAAAACAATTTTAAGAGGGTAGCCATGGAATCTCTTGCCTCTGCCCCAGCCCACTTTCCTGGCCTACAGCCTGTGCCTTTGCTGCTAAAAAGGCTGCTCTGGCAGTGGAGCTGTGGGCCTGAGGAAACACGTTCAGTCATGCACATGGGGAGGCCTTCGTTTCTGATGTAATCAAATGCCAGGTGTATTGTTAGGGAGGAAAGAAGAAAAGGGATGAGCTAAGCTAGCCTCTGGGGCTTAGTAGTACAGCAGGGCTGGAGCAGCCTGTTCTTTGGAGATCATTCACGTTGGAGAAAGCTGGGAAGGTGGTTAAGGAGAGAGAAGGAACACAGAAATATCTGCCTTCCTAGAGCTCAGTAACCCAGCTCCTGTGTGATGAGAAGCAGCCATGCTGATATATGAACAGGTGGAGGAAAGGGGTTGCTGGTGGCCAAATCTTCAGTCTCGTTATCACTAGCTGGCCTGAATCTTACTGAATGCAACCTGCTAGTTATGACAGAGAGGTTCAGGGTGAGAACTAACTGTTCAAGAGAGGAAGATTCTGTAATACTCTCTTGCCCTCTCACAAATCCTGATTGGCCAAACATTTGGCCCAGTGAGAACGACTGATGAACTTGATGTGCATGTGGGGGGATGGGGTGTGTACATACTTCTCTCCTGACTGGCCATTCACTTTTCAGGCTGTCATTCAGATTGGATAGGAAAAAGTTGGTGAGGAAGGAATGGAGAGAGCAGGATCCCTGGATTCCTTGACCCCCAGACTCCTTGACTGTCACTTGTAATTGTATATAATTTTTTTGTGTTTCTTGCTCCATTTCCTCATGCTGTCTTCCTTAGTCTAAAGTCCATGTGGGGAGGGGAAAATGCTGAACATCCTTGTATAGTTTCCTCAACTGTCCCAGCCACGTTGTACATAGATATGTCATGTTATTATATATATAAATATATATATAATTTTGTACGTTTTCTTCATCTCTGATTTTCTCGAATTTTGTACTTTTTTCGTTTCTGTCTGAGCCACTTTCTCTATTGATCAATTTCAGTCCTCAAAACTGAGGTCACATTGAGTCTGGTTTTAGGAAGGAATAGAAGAAATAGGGAGATCAGAAAACTGTTGGTCTCTCTTCATCTGGTCATACTCAAGTTTAAGAAAAGAATAAAGCTTCATTCTGTATTTGCCATGTGTTTCCACAGCATGAAGTGCATAACTCCCATGGCAAAGAAGGGTCATATCCAGTCTAAATCCCAGTTGCTTTGATTAAACCTAGATTATTAAATCCACTCAAAACAACCTGTGTGTTGTCTGACCCTGGCCTCCACCCAGTCACCACCTCATCACTGTGTGCCTACAGTTAGTCTCCGCTGCTGTAAGTGACTCTGGCTATGCGTATGAAACCGAGCCTGCTCCAAGCCAGGAGGCAGCTTACATCCCTGTAAGCCTCCAGTTATTTTTATCTTGTCTAATGAATTGTTTTTCTGTCTTTGTTTTTATGGTTATCTCCAAAAAGGCAGAGAACATTTTGTTCTGTGGATAAGACTGAAATTCATTCTTTCTCTCTCTCCCTCTCTCTCTCTCTCTCGAAATAATTTTCTATGGATAGGATTAAGGCATATGCTAGGTAGCCTAATGACTTAAGTGTAGAAGAGTCATGGGATAGAGACAGGGATGGAATGTAGGATTTTTTTCCCTTATTACTTGACAGTGTTTTCTTTTTCTTCTTCTGTGTTCGTCCGCAGTGGCCAAGTTGAATGATGCTGCCCGGGGCTCCACCAGATCCTGAGATGCTGCCCCCCCCCGGGTCCTGTGCTGGCTCCTGCCCCTCCCTGCTTTTGCAGCCAGGGCTCAGGAGGTGGCTCGGGCGCGGGCTGGAGAGGCAGAAGCCCCTGCCCCTCGGTGTCCCAGCTCATGGAGCCCCTTGGGCTGAGCACCAACACCTTGAACCTTTTTTGTTTTACCTTTCTTCCAAATAACTATTGGGAGAAATCTCAGTGACATCCTGGGGTGGGGTGA